CCACCCTGCCTTCCCGGTTTTAAAAAGCATTGTGTCTTCTTTTAATTTACCTTTATCTCGGGGTTCTTCATTGTCTTTTTGTGATTCTTGCTCCAGAAATAAAAGTCATAAACTTCCCTTTCATAACTCCACTCTCTCGTCTAGTCGACCTCTAGAGATTATTTTCTCCGACGTTTGGACGTCTCCAGTTATATCGATGGATGGTTACAAATATTATGTGGTGTTTGTTGATCATTTTACTCGATATTCTTGGTTGTATCCGTTTAAACAAAAATCACAAGTTCGCGAATCCTTTATTCAATTCAAAGCCTTGGTCGAAAATAAATTTTCTGACAAAGTCATCTCACTTTACAGTGACAATGGTGGAGAATTTTTAGCACTTCGATCTTTTCTTGCGTCTCAAGGCATATCCCATTATACCTCTCCGCCTCATACACCCGAGCATAACGGTATTTCCGAGCGTAAACTTCGTCATGTTGTTGAAACCGGTCTCTCACTTTTACATCATGCATCTCTTCCTTTATCTTTTTGGTCCTTTGCGTTTACCACCGCCATATATTTAATCAACCGACTTCCTTCCCCAGTTCGTTCCATGCAGTCACCCTTTCACTCATTATTTGGTACTTCTCCAAATTACGAGAAACTCCGCACATTTGGATGTTTGTGTTATCCATGGATTCGACCATATTCTCCCCATAAACTCTCACCTAAATCAACACCATGTGTCTTTCTCGGTTTTTCGTCCTCTCAAAGTGCATCCATTTGTTATGATTTTTTAACCTCTCGCATCTTTGTATCTCGTCATGTTATCTTCCATGAGAAAGTCTTCCCTTTTTCAAACTTGTCTCTCTTTACACAACCAGCCCTTGACTCTCCACCTGTCCATTCCTTTGAACCCACAGCCATACACGTTCAACCATATGTCCCGCCAACCACTCCAACACCATCATCTCCGTCCCCTAGCGTATGTCCTTCACCATGTGTGGCCCATGACGAATCACCACAACTGTTGCATCCTACGTCACCACAGCCCCTGCATGCTACCCATGCAGCATCGTCCCCGACGAATCGTCATCCTATGGTGACAAGAAGGAAGAACAACATTGTTAAGCCGGTACAAAAGCTTACACTAATGGCTTCCTTTATTGATGTACCCAGGGAACCGTCCACAGTGTCCGAAGCTCTCAAGGACTCTCGATGACGTCATGCGATGAGTGACGAATTTAACGCTCTCGTTCGAAACGAAACATGGGAGTTGGTTCCTTCTTCACCCGCGATGAATGTAGTTGGTTGTCGTTGGGTCTTTCGGACGAAAACAAACCCGGATGGATCTCTCAACCGCTGTAAAGCAAGACTAGTCGCCAAGGGGTTTCATCAAAGACCCGAAATCGACTTTCATGAGACGTTTAGCCCTGTGGTCAAACCGACTACCATTCGTCTAGTTCTGAGTATCGCTATCACCAACGGTTGGGATATTCGTCAACTCGACGTTAATAATGCCTTCCTGCAAGGTCGTCTCTCCGACGAAGTTTACATGTCACAACCACCCGTGTTCATTGACAAAGATCAACCTAATCACGTATGCAAGCTCCATAAAGCCATATATAGACTCCGCCAAGCACCAAGAGCGTGGTATTCCGAACTACGAGGATTTCTCTTGGAAAAAGGGTTTGTGAACTCCATGGCCGATACATCTCTATTCATTCTCCGGACGACAACCTTCTGCATCTTCGTTTTGGTCTACGTGGATGATCTTGTGGTTACCGGAAGCTCTTCGACACAGATACATACCTTCATTGGTTCTCTTGCGTCTCGGTTCTCAATTAAGGACCTCGGGCAACTCTCTTTCTTCCTTGGTATGGAAGCAACCAGAACTGCCGACGGTTTATTCTTGAGCCAGCGAAAGTATATTTCTGATTTGCTTCACCGAACACACATGCATGAAGCTAAGGCCGTCTCCACACCTATGGCATCCACGTCTCGGCTCGTTTTATCCGCTGGCACACCACTCTCTGAACCTACAGAGTTTCGAGCCATTGGGAGAGT